CTTGATACAAAACTTTTACTTATAAATATATTAATAGCTTTGAAAGTTATTTTTAATAAAAGAAATTTAAGTATTAGAAATAAAATTCTAAATTTCTAAAATTTTCAAAAATACAATGTTTCTTAATAAACATAGTTACTTATATTAATCATTTTCTACACTAAAAATTTTTAACTTAAAGTTTTTCTTCATTACTCAAAATTTCAACTAAATTCTCTTTCTTATTTCTAAAATCAAATTTTACTTCCCTAATATAACTTCATATACATGATCAATTATTCTTTTCAAATCAAATTTACTTGTAGTTCATTTGAGAACAAATAAAATTAAAGTTTTGAAAATATTTTTCATCCCTCACAAACTTAAATTTTTATCAGATTAAACAATTTATCATCAAATATATATAAGCAAGAATGAAAATAAAAATAACATGCTTACAGGAATTTTTATACCCTAATGATACAAGTATAAAACTAAAAACAAGAGTAAAATTAATTTTGATCAAACTTTCTAATATTTTCATTTTAATTTAACATGTAGAGATTCTATATACTTCTAACCAGTGGGTATAAACATAAAAGCAAACTAACACACTAACTTGACTTCACAATCTGAACATAAAAACAAACTCTCAAACATGATAAAATAAAAATAAAGGGTAGCAATTTCCTAAGTTTCAAATTTAAGATTTACGCTAGCAAGATTTTTAACTTTACGAAACACATATAATTAAGTTAAGTTCTAAACTAACTAAATCACAAAAATCACAACAGTTACTACCCTAGAATTTTAAAACAAACTACTAACTAACACAAACATTACAATACAATTAAAAATACAAGTCTCACACATTACAATATCTAAACAAGTAAACAGACTTGTCTCAAGTCCAAAACATGAAAACACATCACATCACAATTTTTACTTAAACATAAAAGTCCAAACTACATCACATAGTTCAAATCAACACACAGATGCAAATATAGCAAGCCCATACCACATAGTTCATATCATATTACAATAATAAAATAAACCTCTCAATTCTACTCTTCATCCTCTAAATCACCGCTATCCCAAACTTTTGCAGGCTCATAATCAGGGTATCTGGGATATGGAGGAAATTGCACTCCTTTGTTCCCCTTAATTAGGCTCTCCAAAGATGAGTGAAATTTCTCTTCATAATCACTTTTTCTTCTATTATACCTATCAGTATGCTCTCTAAAACGCTCTAAATTTTGTACCCTAGCAGCTGTAAATCAGCGGTAAAATTAATATGATCCATCATCCTCTGCAATAATTGATCATGGGTCTCAGTAGACTCGCCTCTAGATGTAGAAACACGTGAGGTAGATGCTCTAGATGTAGAAGCAGCAGATGTTTCCATTCCATAACTCCTAGAAAATCCTCCTCTTTAGCCAAAAATAAAATGCTCAGAATAAGTCTTCACATTCACCTTAGTGATGTGCTTTAGAGGTAATAACACTTCCTCTAAGCTATCATATTTAACTCCAGCCTGCTCACACAAAGAAAAGATCAAGGAAGCAAATCCCAGACCTGCAGTAGTAACGGTAATGGCAGAACTGATGATAGTCTGACAAATAAGAGCTTCTTTGTTGATGAGCTTTCCTTCCTGGATAGAATAATTTATTGTCATTCTCTCTCTGGACACTTCACTGAGATGATTTGTTGGTAGCAGACAAGAAGAAATAAAAAAGTGTCATGCCTTTGAAGGTGCACATAAATTTGATTAACTTTGAAGTTGGGAAGTTGACTGTCCTCTCATTAGTGATCTTCCAATGTTCTCTCCTAATAGTCAAGTAAGAAATAATCTCGTCTAACTCCGCTTCAGTTGGACTATAATTTGCAGAAAAACATAACGTATGTGGTGGCAGATGATAAAACAAGTTGATTACCTCCGATGAAAAAGGTACCAACATTTCCTCAAACCATAACACTATTGTATTTAGCCTCAGGGACGTTTTCATAGAACTCCCTAACAACAGAAATAACAAAAACAAAAACCACTGCCACAACAGAGAAACAACAAAATCGTTCCCACTGTTGGTGAATGATCAAATCATGTACGTCTCCACCTGGATTCCTAAAACACTGCTCCTTAATCAAATTTCGTGATTTCAATACATCATTATACCGATCCTGAGCCTTCAAACTAACAAATTTACTCGAATCGAAAGGGCTCTTCCTTTTGCTCCTCCTTATTGTTGGTGCCATTTTATAAATTTTATAAATTCAAAAAATTACTTCAAAAAACAAGTCTAAATTACTAAACTAAACTTCCAAAGTATAATCTACACTTCCCATGTCTTTCACCATGAATAGTGAATTTTTGAATTCCTCTATATGTGCTCAAAATACATAGTGAAAATCTAAAATTTTTAAATAGAAGTAAAGCTCCTACCTCCAGGAACTTGGATCTAGCAAATTTCACTTGATTCCACCAAGAAATCTTCACTTTAGATGTGCCCTAGCCTTCCAAAATGGCAATTTTGAGAGGTTGAAGGTGACGAGAGGCGTAAAAATGGTGATTTTCGGGCCAAAATTTTAAATTTAACCGTTTGTAAATTGGTTTTTGTGAACCGACGCTTAAGCGTGGGTAAGTGGCCTGCCTCGCAGGTTGGCTCATGCTTAAGCGCGAGATGTGGTGCTTAGACGCCAGTGCACGATTTTCAAATTTTTTAAATTAAAGTAAAATGCACTATTTCCGTAAGTAAACCACCCTTAAATGGTCACATAGCACTTAAATGACTATTTTCAACCTCCTATAACTCACCTCTCTCTCTCTCTCAAAATTCTCCATAAGAATTATGTCAATTTGAGGCTAAAAATAACAAAATTTTTCACACAAATAAACTTATATTAATTAACAAACATGTACAAATACCTTTAAACACTTAATTCTCACTCCAAATAGTCTTGGATGAGAAAATTTTTCTAAATACAAATACATAACAATCATTTCACAATTAACACATATAAGAAGTCATAAATACTAAAAATAAGACTTAAACACTAAACCACTTGAAAACAAAAACTTCTAGCACACAAATTCTAACACTATACTTGATTCCATTCTTCATTCAAAGGAACAAATTCTTGTTTTTCATTAGTCTCCAGGAATATAGAGTTGATAAAACGGACGGTGGTGACGAGCTCTCATACTATCTTCTTCAATCCACTTCTGCTTTATGAACATCACCTTATCTGCTTCCTCTATATAACTTGTGTGGCTAAATTGCATCTTTAATTGCCATCCAATATGCTCTAGATGTGCATGCAACTCAAGTACATTGGTCTCCAATAAAGCCATAGTATTCTCCATTTTGTTGATCTTCTCTGATATCCCTTTAATACTAACGCCTCAGAAACCGTTATACATTTATTGTGCACTTTGACTAATGAACCTCTTCCTCATGGTTTCTTCCTTCTTCTTTAAATCCTTATCCCATGAAAACATTTTCTCTAAATCTCACTTTCTCTTAGACTTTTAGGGCTAGAAATGATCTGGGGTGAAATTCCTTCACAAAACCTTTCTATTTATAGGCCTAAATCCTCTAATAACTCCTAGACACATTTAGAAACTGCCTTGCCACATTTTTATAAACTAATTGGTGATTAAACCTTCTAGAATATTAAGTTTACACATGTGTTTAAACTGCCGCACTTAAGCGTCGGATCTGGCGCTTAATCTGGAGTTTAAGCGACAGTGCACAATTTTGCACTAGTCAACTTAACATCAAAATTCTCATTCTAAGATGTCTTCATAAAGTCTTAAAATCTTTACTAACACATAATAATTTAAAAATACTACCCCAAATTTCTTAATCACACACAAAACAACAATCAAAATAAAAACACACTAACAACTATGGGTTGTCTCCCACAAAGCGCTTCATTTTATGTCGTAAGCCCGACGTAACCAGTGCTTATTCTGGTTGACCCAACATAATTCCATCATTATGTTTATGTCGATCCCCTATAAAATAAGGTTTCAGTCTATGTCCATTAAATTTAAATATTTTCTCAGGCTTAGGACACCTTCATAAGGATAAACTTTTATCACAATAAATGGGCCCATCCACCTTGATTTAAGTTTGCCTGGAAATAATTTTAGCCTTGCATTATATAGTAAAACTTGTTGCCCTGGCTGAAAATTTCTAGTAAGAATCCTTCGATCATGCCACATCTTCATCTTTTCTTTATAAATCTTGGCACTCTCATAAGATTCATTCCTTATCTCTTCAAGCTCATTTAATTG